AAAAAAAAAAATAAATAAATAAATAAATAAATAAATAAAGCTAATGAATCAAAGCATATGCTCCTTGTCTTTTTTAAGGGATTTTGCTATATAGAACTTTTTTTCTTTGCCTAAAGGGTAAACAGTACAAACCTATTTCAATTAAAAAGAGTCTTAGAATCCGGGGCTGGTATTACTACAACCTCTAATTATGGAAGATGTTTAGTATGATAACAGAAACCAGTTTAAGGAATGTGGAGATTTATTTACATCAAATTCAGATAAAGAGATAAAAGCAGACTTGAAGAAGCAAGCAGAACATGATTTAAGTAGTCTATGACTGTATCTGTGCCCTTGGCCACAATGAAAGACCAGCAAAACCAGCCTTCAGAATAACCGTACTGCCTGGTGGGAGATGGGAAGGCCAGACTTTACCCCTCAAGATCGCCGATCGCCCTCCTACGCGAATTTTCCACCTCGCAGCTAAGAATTCAACCCAGACTTCCGATCATGGCGCCATGCACGTCACCTTCTCCCCTCTCCGCCGGCAAAATCCCACCCACGTCGGCTGACCCCGCAGTGGGGTGTAAGGGCGGGATGAATCCCCTCCCCTATCCTGGTGGCTAGTATAAACCAGATCGAAAAAACGCACTACACAAATCCTTGGAAATTGCGGTACCAATGGGACCTTCTCAATTCCTTGAGTGCAAAATGATCCCACTCTGTCCTGACACAACTCTAGATCAATTTTCCTTTCACGTGTCCTAAAAAGCCCTCAGGGCTCCCAGCCCTGGTGAATCCAGGCCCTCTCTCGGGTGGGCATCGCGCTGTACCGACAGGCTCGCGCAAGCAGCGGGATGATTTATAGAATTAAAAGTCTTTTTTTTTGTTTTCTGGCTTCGCATCCTTGCAAATATTCAATATTCCTGTCAGCTAAGAAGGTTAAGGGAATGGGCGGTTGAGGAAAGCAGGACGTCGATTACAGCAAACACATCAATTTAGGGGTGGTCTTTCCAATTCCGGCTTTTGTTTGGTCAGAGGGGAGCCTGAGGAGGCCAAGGTCTCGGGTTCTGGGAAAGGCGGGTCCATCCGGATTCTTTGGGCTGCGGAGAGGGAGGCACCAGCCCCGTGAAACAACAGAGGGCAGTTCTGCCCCTCGAGGCTTTCCTCCGAGAGTCCTGGGGAGACCAAGACGCCTCTGCCGGGAGAATTCCCGGAGCTCGGAAGTCTGCCGAACGCTGGACAAAAAGATGTGGCCGCCCTCTCTTAAACACACACGCGAATCCCAAGCCATGCACGTTTGGAAGGCATGTGTGTGTGTGTGAGGGAGAGAGGCCACCGCTGCCCACCGCTGCCCCACCCAGCCCTCGGCCATTCAGGGGAGAGACCCGCGGAGCTGAGGCCTCTGAGCCCTCAGCCAGCCCCGGACGAGGGGCGGGGCCGGGCGGGGCCGTGAGCGCGCAGACTCAGTGCGGGCTTCAACGCGCCGCCGTCGCCGCCCGCGCTGCACCACAGGCCAGAGACAGACTGGGCCGGGAAGAGCTGGAGACTGAGGAGGAGGCGGAGGCGGCGGCAGAGGCGGGGCGACTCCAGTGACCGGGAGCGCCGCAGACTGGCAGCTGCGGCGACTCCCCCCTTTGTGTCTGGTCTGCTCGGAGCCACTGGAAGTGCTTCCCGGAGGGGCGCAGGGTGTCTCGCCTCCTTGCTGCCCACCCCCTTCCCCGGCTGCCTTCCTCCGCCCTCCCGCCGCCCCCCGCCCTCGGCCCGCGACGCCCGAGCTCCGCCGGGAGCCCAGAGCTGCGGGAGAACGAGGCGGCGGCGGCGGCGGCGGCGGCGGCTTCCTCGGGGGGTTGTGATTCTCCCACAGGAGCCATTGACTGGAGAAGACAAGGCTTTCATGGTGGAATTTACCTCAGGCAAGATCGAGCCGCCGGAATAAAAAGCGAGGAAGGGAAGGGAGCACCGCTGGGAGGACTAGAAGGGGCAGCCTCTTGCACCCCCTCCGCTCGCCGTCTCGGGGAGCTCGAGCCCGGGCCGCGACCCCTCCCCTCCCCCGCTCCCACCTCCCTTCAGCCCTCGCCAGGGCCTTTCCGACCCTCGCACGATTGTTCCGCAAAGGCGTGGGGACTGTGGGCTTGTCCATGGAGGCAGGCACTTTTTTCGATTCAGTCGAGGAAGAGGATTTGTTCTCGAAATCACAGTGAGGGAAGCACCGAAGCGAAACTTAAGGAATCCTGCCTTCCTGGAGCCGCTGGCGATGCGACTGGGTCCGCCGGGCGCCGCCGCCGCCCGCCCGGCTTCGCCCTTCCTGGCAGTCGGGAACTAGTTCTGAACTCGTCCCCCGGCCTCGGATCGATCCCCGCCCTCCGCACCGTGGATATGTTTTCTCCCAGACCTGGATATTTTTTTGATATTGTGAAACTACGAGGGAAATAACTTGGGTGATTTCGTCTTGGATCCCTGCTTTCCCCACGGACATGCCTTCAGTTTGGATGGCTGCAGCACCCCATCCGAGGCGAAGGAACCCCCCCCAGCCGCGAGGGAGAGAAATGAAGGGAATTTCTGCAGCGGCATGAAAGCTCTGCAGCTAGGTCCTCTCATCTGCCATTTGTCCTTTCAAACTGCATTGTGATACGGGCACGATCAGTCCACGGGAGAGGAGACGAACCTCCCGGCTGTTTCTCCGCGGGTATCCACTTCCCGTATTTCTTTTCTTTGCTCTCCTGCTTCTTGGCTGGCCCAGGGATGACTTCCTCGCTGCAGCGGCCCTGGCGGGTGCCCTGGCTACCATGGACCATCCTGCTGGTCAGCGCTGCGGCCGGTGAGTAGCCCCAGCCGGCGCGTCCCGGCCACTTCCCCTGCGGGTGGCGAGGGAGAGAGCCCGCAGAGGCCGAGGCCTGTGCTCACCCTTCTCGACGCGTCCCCCGGATCGCGGTGGAGCGGAGCCGCGACCCGGTACCTGTGCGCCTGCCCTGTGCCTTCCAGGGAAATCACCTTTAATATTCCTGTGTACTTTCCTATCCCCGCTTCCATATTCCCACCCCACCCCGCTTCACGGGGTAAAAAAGACATATTGGGTGTGGTATCTTGACATTTTTAGCTGTGAGGTAATGCAAGGATTAAAAATAATATTTTAATCACCAGTGAACAGTATCTGTTATGAGATCTCAGGAAACAGACCTGTATATATATATTTATTATTATTATAAAGAAGCGGTTTTGGCTTATAGTAAAAAGAACATCAACTAGAGAACACACACTTGAACCTTAGTTTTATATTTAGATCATGCTGGGAATCCATGTTACTTTTCATTATTCAGAAATGTTACCGAATGAATAGAATAAATGTTGAGGAAGCCAGAACTGTGAGATTCTTGATACATTGTATTATACGGTTTCCTATGCTTATCAGTGGTATTATTTTGTTCCCAAGTATTTTAATAATTATATCTCCATCTTTTCAACCTGGGCACTCACATATTAGATGCTTTTGGAGAATTACCGTACTGTTGGGCTGTATTTCGATAACTTTACTTAATTAGTCACCTGACATCTATTTATTGGCTTTGCTGTTTAGACAACTTTGACCTGACATCAGACTTCTAGGAGCTTTGACTCCCCAAAGTTCTTTGACGTTTCTCTAAAGTCTAAAGGGAAATGGTAGTCATCCTTTCCTTTGGATATTTTCATTTCAGTTTTCAGACACCTTAGGAAAAAGACCTTATCTTCTATTTGCAACTCTTTTTTTCAAGCAGTCTTTTGGGAATTCGCTTTTAGAAATTTTCAGGAGTGAATTCTACATACAACTGGTACACTTGGTTTATGATGAGCAAATGGATTGTGCTTTTAAAACGAATAAAGGACCAAATGACCCTTTCCAATTACTTTTTTCTTATAAGTGTGTTTTCACATTAAATAAATTTCTCATTGCTATGTTAGATACAAAGGTTATTTCATTTTAAAAGTCTGAACTAGGAAAATGACGAAAGGAAATTTGAATTTTCCTTTTATGCTTTTGATATTGTTGAAAAATGCCTACTGTTGATTAACGTCTGTTAAATTGGTGATAAATCCATATAGTTCTGTTAAAATGATTTGAATTTTGAATTTACTTTAAAACTAATATTTTAATATTTTTAATAATTGTAGTTCCTTTCAGAGTAAAAATGAATGATTTTTCTTTAAATTTCTTTATATCGTGTTAGCTATTTAAATTCTTTAGCCATAAGCCATGTGGTTCCCGTAAAATATAGAATATGAGGCCTTAAACATTCCTTGAGTGGAAATCTCAGAACGTACACTTTTCAGTGTTCTTTGTTATTCTTAGCCTTTTTAGAATATAGATTCTCATTTATGGTGATGTGCTCATAATATTGTGATCAGAACTGGTAAGAGAAAAAACATTGATTTAACAATAATTTTTTTTTGTTAATACAATCAGAATAGTGTCTCTTAAAAGGGAGAGTAAAAGAATCACTGCTTAAAAGTGGTTTTAGTCCTTTTTTTTTTAAGTATTGCATAGCACCAAATGACAAAATTTGCGAAGCTGGATTTCAGACCTGTAACAGTAATGATAATAGTCAGTATTTAAGTGTCTGCCATGCACCATCAGCTATTCAAATAACTTTGCGCATATATATATATATATATATTTTTTTTTTTTTTTTTGAGACAGAGTCTTACTCCGTCACCAGGCGCCAGACTGGAGTACAGTGGCGCGACCTCGGCTCACTACAACCTCCACCTCCCAGGTTAAAGCAATTCTCCTGCCTCAGCCTCCCAAGTAGCTGAGACTAGGGGCGCGCGCCTCCACGCCCAGCTAATTATTTTTGTATTTTTTTTTTTTTTTAGTAGAGACGGGGTTTCACCATGTTGGCCAGGATGGTCTCGATCTCTTGACCTCGTGATCCACCTGCCTCGGCCTCCCAAAGTGCTGGGATTACAGGCGTGAACCACCTCGCCCAGATTGTATTTTTTTTTATTTCATCCTTGTGACAATTCTATACTGTAGGTTATTGTCATTCCCCTTTTTCGTAGAGGGAGAGTAAAGAGAATTTGAATAACTCACCACACAGTGGGTAAATTATGGAGCCAGGATTATAGTGTGTGCCCTTACATACCACATTAATGGTAAAACATCAGTAGCAGCAACAACTTCTCACTCTTATTGGGTATATGAGATGGAGTAATGTCTTCACCAGATCAACCTTTGAAAAGAAGCAGGGACACTTACAAGGTGTTATGGCAGCAGTGGTTATACAAATGTGGTAGCTCTGAACATGTAAAACTTTGCCTAATGTTGAAGTGGCTAGTGGAGCTTCATTAAGTGCAAGGTGATTAGAGAGGGCCTGTGTGGATTTGGGTTACATAGCTGCAGTGATGTTAACTGGACAGGCACAAATAGTGCGGCTGAACAGGGAAAAAAACCCTGGAAGACTGATTGATAGCACATCCTTTTTTGGGGTCATGGATAAATCATTTCTTTGAATCCCTCTTTTTCACTTACCTAGTTCTTGGACTCCTTAATTCTTAGAACATGTTCTTTTTTTCTTTTCTTTCTTTTTTTTTCTGGAGACAGGGTCTCATTCCGTTGCCCAGGCTGGAGTGCAGTGGTGCGATCTCGGCTCACAGCAACCTTCACCTCACAGGCTCAAGTGATTCTCCTGTCTCAGCCTCCCAAGTAGCCGGGATTACAGGCATGCACCACCATACCCGGGCTAATTT